GAAAAGTGGGGGTCGTCTTGTACATGGGGGCGTCTTATTGATGGAAAAATACGGTACTTTGCTGGCTTGAGCCAACCTATTTCTGTGATCATTTCCAGCTCCACTTAGTTCCACATTTCCTTTCTCTAAGTCTGGTATTTGATGGGCATGTCAACTAACCCCATCCTTTTCAAAATTGTTCTTCTTTCTTTGCCCCCTACTCCCCTGCTCTTCAGAGAAATGGCTTTGAACAATTCTGCATTAACTTTGTGAATGAAAAACTTCAACAGATCTTCATTGAATTGACACTTAAAGCAGAGCAGGTGAGATCTGGGTGGGAGAAGATACACATTTCTTTGAGGGGTGGACTGTGGACTCTAAGGGGGAAATCTTTCCCTTCGCATCACTAGAATTATCAGCAATATTATATTGCTTGGGGGAGGGAGAATATTCCATGAGATCACAAATGATGCAGTATCACTTTGTACTCTCAAAAGAAAGGAAAGGCAGGATAATAATAATAACAACAATGATTTGCATACGGTTCTTGAGCTAAGAAGGAAGGACTAGCCGAAAGTCCCTCCAGGGAGGTTCCATGGCTGAGAACAGGCTAGAACCTGTGTCTCTTAGTCCAGCACCTTCACCACTGGACCACACTGATTCTTGGGCTGAGCGGGAGGGACTCATCCAATGTCCCCCAGGGAGATTTTGTGACTAAGGGGGAACTGAAACTGAGTCTCTCAGCTCCTAGTGATGCACCTACACCACAGTGTCTCTCTATAGCAGTGTTTCTCAACCTTGGCAACTTTAAGAGGTGTGGACTTCAACATGCTGGCTGGGGAATTCTGGGAATTGAAGTCCACGCCTCTTAAAGTTGCCAAGGTTGAAAAACACTGCTCGATAGTAAAATACTGATGTACCCAAGCTTTGACTTATCATGAGGCAAAATGGGTATATTCTCATGTGGCTCATTGGACTTTGTTGGACTTTGCATGACAGAAGTCTTGAGGTCAGTCTCCAGCTGGTCACTTGTGACACAAAGGCAGCCTTTCCTAACCTGGAGATGGGACTATATCTCCTCTTGGATTTTGTATGACAGAAGTCTTGAGGTCAATCTCCCACCAGGGACATGTTTGGGGACTGCACCTCCTTGAATTTCTAGCCAGAGGGCTGGCTAGGAACTCTGGGAGTTTTAGTTCCACCATATTAGGAGGATACTAGGTTCAGGAAGATTGCCCTGGAGAGCTGCAGGTCATCAGATCAGACACTACCGATGGTATTCTTGCCTTAATCCTCATCTTTAACTGTTCTTTTGTTCTTTAAATGTGCATTAATTGTTTCTTTGTTCTTTAAAAGTGACCTCTCCTTTTGTCTTTTGTCCTAGGAAGAGTATGTGCAGGAAGGCATCAGGTGGACCCCCATTGAATATTTCAACAACAAAATTGTGTGTGATCTCATTGAAAACAAAGTGGTAAGAGAAGGACTGAGGAGGAGATCACGTAAAAAGATTCACTGAGGTGTGGGGGTTGAGCTGGTGATGGCATTAAATACTTTATCCCGGTTGAATTAAACTCTTAAAAGGCCTCGTTTTCCTTTTTTTTTTTTTCATCGAAATCACATCTATGCCATTTTCCCCCTAAAATTCATTCAAAACTTTCCTTTTTCTTTATTTTCTTAGAATGCACCTGAAATGTGTGTTCTTCTGGAGCATTCTAGGAAAAAGATGGCAGCCGTTACGCTCTAAAAAAGAAACCTTGGGGACCCCAATTTGGCTTTGCTTCCTGGCTGCAAATACTATTTCTAACGCCTTAGAACAGTGTTTCTCAACCTCAGCAACTTTAAGAGGTGTGGACTTCAACTCCCAGAATTCCCCAGCCAGCCTTGCTGGCTGGAGAATTCTGGG